CGTGGTAATTTCTAGGCTTTGAGCTAGAGCGAACGTGAAGGCTCCTTTTGTTGGTCAAACATTAAGATAATACTAATAGATTTCTAGATGCCATGGTTTCTGATGAAACTACTTAGTCCCAACAACATGCGCTTCTCTAGCTATTTGCTTGTGCTTCTATACCGCCGTGCTGCGTGCATCCTTGTGACGCGCGTCAGTTTTAGATAGGTTACACGGCAGCCATCTAAGATTTTCAGTGACGTATGAGTGTATGACGTATCCTAGATTTGCCAAAGTTAATTACGTACGGACATACATCGTCATACAGTTTTTTTTTAAAAAGTACATCGTCATAGAGTTGACGGTCGTATATATATGTGCAGTACTAGGCAGTGGTAGCAGTAGGAAGGAAGGCTATTTATTTATTGTGGGCTCAATGTAAGATAGACCAACCAAACCGTCTCGCGCACGTTCTTCGTTTTCCTACATGTGCATTCAGGGACGGACCTAAGCTTTCTCACCTGTTCAAACCACGAAATTTCCGCTGCAGGAGGGACTCATCACACCTATAACTAATAACTAACCCACGAAAGCTACAAATCGATTCTGCCTTTCCAGATGACTGATAACTAACCATGAAAGCTACTAATAACTAACCATGGTCCAATGAACGAATCGTCGCCCGGCTCGGTTGCTTGCTTCCAATTAATATTGCATTGTAGCGATCGAGAAATTAAGACAGGCACATATACTATTCTGCCTCCAGGCCCGGTTGCTAGCTTGCAATTAATATTGCATTGCGTTGCGCTGTCTAGCCAGCTCGCGATCGATTAAGCAACAGATGGAGAGGGGAAATTCACACACCCCACTTGATTGTAGCGCGTTGGCTGGCTGCACTGAGTACAGTTGACTCAGCAAACAAGTGAAAAACGTAGTATTAGCTTGTTTCCCGCGACTTAATTAATTTCGACTACATCATCACCGGTTCAAGTATGGAGTAGTCAACCACGAAATTTCCGCTGCAGGAGGGACTCATCACACCTAACTAATTAACCCACGAAAGCTAGATAGATAATGACCAGCCAAGAAATTTCTGCCGCGCGCATTTTCGCCGCTATATACTACCTCCATTTATAAGTATATGACGTTTAGGACAACCAAATTAGTTCAATGAACTAAATAACTTGTCCTAAACGTCATATATTTGGGAGTAGTATTACAGTAGGGAACTTGTTTTGCTTGTACTGTCGTCTATATATATGCGCGTCGAGCGCAGGTATAGTAGCCTCAGCTCAGCTCAGCTCCCTTGAAGGATCGGACTCTTTGCAAACAAATAATGTAGCTAGACCCGGCCCCGGCCTTAAGCTCTCGATCGGCGCGGCAGCTCTTTGATTCATTCGCGGGAATACTCAAATTAATATCCGCCCCGCAGATATCTAGCTGGTGCGGCCGGACGACGCAGGTAAACTAAAAATACTCCTACATCAATTCCCTTAATTCCCTAGCTAGCGCCCATGGCGTGCTGCATCATTAATTGTGCATGTGTCGATCTGTCTAGATGGATCTGCATGCAGGGTTGGTTTACTTAGGATCAGAAGACGTACGTGTAGCACCTTTTGCTTGTCTTCCTTGTTCGTTGTCTTTTTTACAAACTACCCCTCCGTCTCTAAATAAGTGTCCTTTAAGAGTAAGTACAGTAATAGGCTTATAGCCAAGCTAGTCAGCATTTTTGCTGACGTGGAGAAGAGAAGAAAGGAGAGAGAGGAGAGCTTGGCTCCCATGCAAGCAACAAGCTAGGCACGGAAGCATAGACAGTAGTGGGTCCCAATAGAGATGTATATGAGTAGTAATAGGAAATAGAATGAAAACATGTACTAATAAAAAAAGTTTGTAGATAAATAGAAGACTAACTATTGTATTGCTTAGCTCTTATAACTTGGTTTATAGCAAAGTACTTGGCTTGGCTCTATTATTGACCCTTCTCTTAGAGCAAGTTCAATAATAGAGCCAAGTGTTTGGCTATTAGCCAAGTTGCAAGAGCCAAGCTATACAATGATGGTCTCTTATTTGTCTATAAGAAACTTTTTTTATTATTAGTTTTACAAAGCATCATCTTCTCTTTCCTAATTCTCCTCACATTCATTTAGTGTATAGACCTACCATTGTCTATGCATCCGTGCCTAGCTTGTTGCTTGCATAAGAGCCAAGCTCTCATCTTTCTCCTCCCTTCTCTCCTCCACATCAGCATTTGCTTAGCTATAAGCCAATTATTATACCTGCTCATAGGAGTTGGGCACGGGAATTAAGGAAGAATGAAAAAGTAGAGAGTGCACAGGAAGCGAGGAGGGGTGGAGGAGGAGAGAGATAAAGATAGAGTTGTATTGGAAAGCGAGAAAGATATTTATTTAGGGACAAATTTTAAATCCTAGAAGAACACTTATTTAGGAATAGAGGGAGTAGTAAGGTGGCCTGCGCATTTACGCGGCTAGATTTGTTTTACTTAAAAAGTAATTTTTTACTTTATTAGTTTCCTTTTGATATCAGCATTTCATTGAACTGTAGCTGTCTATTTTTTGTGTATAGCCTCTACAGTCACATGGTCTATCAATCTAATAACGTCAAACTCATGTCGTCAATATGTATATGGTTTCTTTAGCTATTGATGATCGAAGCTAAAACATTTTAATATATTACTTATCACAGAGCTATATTAAGTTTCATCACCTGGGTAATTACTGTGTTATATATATCCTGGACCATCTAAATAAATGAAGTATTTATTTATTTTATGTTGGTTAATAATCGATCTCATGTGTACCCTCAACTTATCAACTATATGTGTTGGCACCTTTTTTTGCGACTAATTAATTGTTGTGTCTGCTTCTGGTCTTACGTGTTTTTGTGTATTAGCCTGAAATAATATTTTCTGGCGTGTTACCATGCTTTGGATTTGTACCTTTTCATTAAGTTTTTTTATTTTTATTTTATTCATGGAAATATTTCATTATATGAACAAACTTTTATACCGTTGCTAAATACTGCGGAGGTGATGATAAGCCGTGTAGAAAGAACAAAAAAAATATGGGGCTCAGATGTGTGCATAACTCAGTCTGACCTAATTGAGTTAATTGGACTTTTGGTAATCTGCGCCTTGTTGCCCGTTGAGATCCTGCTTAAACAGCATAATATGTATGCAGTAGTACCAACTATTCAGGAGTAGTAGCTCATGATAGGTTATATATAGTAATCACCCAGCAAATCAACTTTGCACATCAGTCCCTAATTCCAAGCGGCACAACAGAATAACCTTGTCCTTCCGAACCAGAGTTATTTATATCTGAGCCCAACCTGGCAACAGGCGCAGAACTTTGTTGCACTACTACTCAAAGGCAGCATAAGCAAAGCTACCATGCATGGGTTCTTCAGGGTCGGAAGAGAGGCGGATGCTGATGCATGGAGCCACTAAAATATACCAGTCTCTGAATTTCCAACGTTGTGAGCATGAGGTGTTCCTGAATAGATAATACCTTCATTAGAATCAAGCAATGCAAATTAAACGAACGGTAAACACTGATGGAGTACGTGATGGTCATTTGACCCAACGTGCCTACCTTAGACTGTATATCTCATGGCGTTTGTAGCTAGTCCTGAATCTCGAACTTGTTTGGCTGAGCTAGGGCCCAACGCACAACTTCCTGTGCTAGCGGAGATGCTGCATGACTTGCGTTAAAGCTTGGCAGCTTGCAACGTCTTCCTGCTTGCCTGCTTTGCTGCTCCGATCCTTTCTTTATGACATATATCTGACGACAAAATTCGCACATCATATCGAAGCTCACGTTGCTGTCGATGGTAGTTATTTCAAGTTTCTACGATTAACGTGGTAATTTCTAAGCCTTGAGAGCAAACGTGGAGGCTTTTTTTGTTGGCCAAATTCTAAGATAACTAGTAAAGTGACCCACGCATTTGCGCGGCTAGACACATAATTTGTTCCTCCCTCTTGGATCTTTTCAATTTGATTTTGTTACTTTTCAAGCACTTTGATTGGTATTGCAAAGCAAGTGAATACGTCATGATCTTTTTTTTCCTGTATATTTTTAGCTCCGGATGCAAGTCATCATACACACCGTAAACTTATTAATATATGACCTATGGGATACATACAATCTACTGTTATTAAGAAATTCAGTGGTTACTTTGTAAAAAAAATGATAGTAAGAAGCTATAAAATCCATGTGTTTTTCTTAACAAATCTAATAATTCAACTTCTATGCACCAATCCACGTACATTTTCTTAGAATAATGGCTTAACGTGAGAGTACAACAATGCTTAATGAGCAAAGGGAGTGTTTACTTTAGTTTCTCGGATGGCTCTAGCAATGGCAGATGCCACAACTCTAGCCTCAAGGTGCTCCTTGGCAGTTGATATTGCTCTACCGACCTCAACCGATCCTTGCTCCTTGATGCGACCTCCACTGACCGCCACCGTGTTCAAGATAGTGTTCCTCATCCATCTGGTTCTCCTGTTATTTTCATCCATATGGTTCTCCCGTTATTTTAGAGTTTGATTCGGCTAAGCTCTAAACGATCTTATTTGATGATCTTATCAAGCGTATATTTATCTCTTTTTTTTTATTGCAAGGGAAGCATATACTTATCTCTTATGTTACAGAAATAGCATGAATCGGATCCCCATGTCTCATGCAATCAATTCTATCTTGTACAACTAATTTAAACCTTTTGTCTCCCTGTCGGATTTATTATTTTCTTTCCTTTTCATTGAGTAAGGGTTCACGTGGGATATATTTTTTAAAATTACTAAGAAAACATTTTTTAAATAGCAATGCTTGGTATTTATGGATAGACTTAGGGGTATTTTGGGCTACTTTTATTATAATGGCAGTGGTGGGTAATTTTTATTTTCCTTTTTCGATTATTCTAGGCCTTGAGAACGAACGTGGAGGTTTCTTTGGTTGGTCAAACACTAAGATAATAGAGGATGAAACGATCCATGAATTGTATGCATGGGGACGGACATATTTTGGTTTGATGATGAGATGAGCAGGCAGGCACAAATGGTACGTGAACGTATCATCATCATCATCAGTAGTGATATGATCGATATGATGGAGAGCGATTATATTATTATTAGCAGGTCAGCCGGTCTTCCCAAAAATCGGACACAAAAACCCTACTCACCTCGCCATGATCGATATATGTTAGTTGCATTCTGTTATACCTTTTTTGTTCCGAGTATATGCATCATCTTGTTCACTGTCCTGCATTGTAAAACTTTGAACTACCTCTTCTTTTTAATTTAATACTAATATGTGTAGCTCTACTGCATACTCCCTCCGTCCCGCAAAGGAAGTCATTCTAGCATTTGAAATTTATCCCACAAAAGAAAGTCATTCTAGGAGAAGTGGGCCCGGTATTAAATCATGCCTCTATTGGACTTTGCATGCATGCGCGTGGGGATTTGCCAACTGCACACAGCATTGGTTGAGAGCTAGTTTGCATGCATGCATGCACACACAAAACTAAGAGTTTCCTTGTACTCCGTAATTGTCTACCTCCTCAACACTAATCTGTCTTAAAAATGTTAGAATGACTTCCTTTGCGGGACGGAGGGAGTATTTGACAGAGAGAAAATTAAAATTAATGATCTGTTCAGGATGACATCCAAGCCGCTGCGACTCATGATGACCATGTTTCTGGATCATGAGCGACCACCAAATTAATTGCATGGCTTCCATCCTATTGATTGGTCAGCTTTATTATCAAGAAATCATGCAGGCTGAAACTTCGCCATAATAATACAAGTGTGAGTCGTTGTGTTATTTTTTTCCCTAAAACAATCAATAATTTGTTTATTTTGTTATCAGGCGGTTCTTCTTCCACTACCAATAAAGGGCAACAAAGTTATGGGAAAGGACGAGAAGGGAAAGGGGAATGTTGACACTGGCATCGGTGCTATGATGATAGAAAACATGAACCGTAGCAGTGGTGCAACAAAGGTTGTTTGCCTCACCCAGGTGGTAAGTGCAGATGAATTGAAAGATAAAGATCAGTATGAGGACATTAAGAAACACATGAGGCAAGAAGCAGGCAAATACGGTATTTACTGTTGATCTCCTGCAGAATTAGAGTTCACTTCTCCATCTTTTCCATTTCTCAATATGCCATTTCTGACTCCAATAGTTTCAGATTCAATTGTTATGTTGATTAGTCAGTACAGTTACAGTAGTCAGTACACATAAAGAAAAATCTTTTCCTCAGGAAATTTGGTGGACGATGTTGTGATCCCACGTCCTGACCCCAGTGGACAGCCAGTTGCAGGAGTTGGAAAGGTGAGCCTTACTATGATTTGAGGTTTAAACTGTACTGTAACATTTGTATTGAATTGTTTCTGATGCATGGGATTGCCATTGCAGGTGTTCCTGGAATATGCAGATGTTGATGGTGCTGCCAAAGCAAAGACGGCATTGGACGGAAGGAAACTCCGTGGGAACCGCGTGGTTGCGGTTTACTACGCGGAGGACAAATTTGCCAATGAGGAATACGATGGATAAATATTGGCCCACCATTATCTTTTGCCTACATGTTCGTAATCAGAACGATGAAAGATTTCTCACCTACGCTGAATGTATCGTGTTAGCCCTGGATTTATGCTGAGCCACCAGTCTCGAACATTGAAAGAATAGATTGAGAAAAGTACCTGATCCTCAGCCTCCATCTTGATGTATTCGGGTTATTTGCCTGTTCTGTATCTAGTTTCCCTATTGTTGTTTCTGTTGAATTTCCTGGTGATACAGTATGGGCAATTGGCTGGCTATCGCGAATGACGATAATGAAGGAACATCATGCATGCTTTTCCTCGTATATCCGCTACCCAAACTGCTGCGTAAAATTAAAACGCCACGCAGGCCGGCCGTGCCGTGGCACTGCCATTTCCACACAAGAACCTCACCCTTCTCTTCAAACATGCCAAGAACCTCACCCTTCTCTTCAAACATGCTGCCGGTGCCTATCATGTATGGAGCCCGCTGCAGCATGGGGAGTGGCAGCCATTAACTGCACCTTCGAAGAAGCGGCTGCTGAAGTTTCAATCAAATAATCCCACTCTGGAGGCCAGAAAAAACGGAGAAGTGAACTCAATTACTATTGTGTCTTGCTAGCAAGTTTACCGCGAATGCAATATCTGGCCGGGTGCTATTAGCAAGATACATTAGTGCTCCAACGGCAATAAGATATGGACTGTAGAATTGTATAGATCAACTAGACAACTTGTATTGCTCTCAGGTGATTTACATATATAGTACAACTGTGGCAGTGGCCTTTGGCCAGCTGCGTAAAGGCGAGAGCGGGCGCGTGCTAAGCGGATCTACATGCCGTGGTGACCGCTCGAGCGTGGGCGCCGAAGTCGTGAGGTGCGCGCATGGCGCTGATGACTCGGGCGCATGGCCTAGCCAGCCTCGGGCGATTCGGGAGATTGCCAACCGTGAAGACCTGGTCATGTGCTATCTGTTGGTGGAGACCGGATTCCGCTGACACCCCCCTGCAGTCTCGACGTCGGCTGCGGTGACGGAGAGGCTGTCTCTGAAGTCGAGGAAGAGCGCCGAAGGCAGTCCTTTCGTGAACACATCGGCAAGTTGTCGCGCACTAGGAACGTGCGTGACTCGGAGCTCACCAATGGCGACCTTCTCACGAACGAAGTGTATGTCTAATTCAATGTGCTTCGTGCATCGGTGATGTACGGGGTTGCAAGACATGTAGACCGATGATATGTTGTCGCAGAACGCCACTGTCGCACTTGGTACTTTGCACAGGAGCTCGCCAAGGAGGTGTTGAAGCCACGAGCACTCGGAGACGGCGTTGGCGATGGCGCGATACTCGGCTTCTCCGCTCGATCTCGACACCGTGGTTTGCCTCTTGGAGGACCACGAGACGAGCGAGTTGCCGAAGAAAATGCAGAAGCCAGACATGGAGCACCGTGTGTCCGGGCATCCCGCCCAATCGGCGTCGGAGTAGGCGGTGATCGTCGGCGACGGCGTGGCGCGTAGCTGAACTCCGAGTGTTGTCGTTCCTCGGACATACTGGAGGATGCGTTTGAGCATCGTCTGGTGCACATCTTGTGGCGCGTGCATGTGCAAACAGACCTGTTGCACGGCGTACGCAATATCTGGTCGCCTGATGGTCAGATATTGCAGCGCACCGGCAATGCTCCGGTAAGTGATGGCGTCGGTGATCAGCTTCCCGTCAGCAACAGATGCCTTCGGCTTGGTGTCCGCGGGCGTGACGGCGGGGTTGCAGTTGGCTATGCCAGCACGTTCCAGGAGCTCTTCAGCGTACGCCGACTGGGAGAGGAAGAAGCCGTCGTTGTTGCGTCGCACGTTGATGCCGAGGAAGTGTCGAACTTGCCCCATGTCTTTCACGGTGAAGGCGTCGTGTTGCCGTGTGATGACATGGCGAAGGAGTGGCGTCGAGGATGCAGATAGGATCATGTCGTCGACGTAGAGCAGCAAATACGCCGTTGCCCCGTTGTGGTGGTAGACGAAGAGGGATGAATCGACCTTCGACTGGATGAACCCGAGGCTGGTCACGTGGCCGACGAAGCGTTCGAACGACGCCCGTGGTGCTTGCCGTAGACCGTAGAGGGAGCGCGACAGCAGGCAGACATCGTTGGGGCGTCGAGGATCAACGAACCCAGTAGGTTGCTGGCTATACACCTATTCTTGAAGATTGCCGTGGAGGAAGGCGTTGGAGACATGCAGTTGACGCGTCGGCCATTTGTACGTCGCCACGAGCATGAGAACGGTGCGGATCGTGGCCGGCTTCACGACCGGAGAGAAAGTCTCGCCGAAGTCGATGCCGGGACGCTGATTGAACCCATGCACAACCCATCGAGCCTTGTAGCATTCTAGGGTGCCGTCGGGGTTCATCTTGTGTTTGAAGACCCACTTCCCGGTGATCACGCGAGCACCTGGAGGTCGTGGTACGAGGGTGTAGGTCTTGTTAGCCTGTAACGCATCAAATTCGGTTTTCATAGCGGCAAACCATTGGGGGTCTTTGATGGCGCCGCAGACGCTCTTGGGGATCGGAGAGATGGTCGCTGAAGCCTCAGAAGCCGTCATGGCGTATTTAGGGTTGGGTTTATGGATCGCAGCCCTAGCTCGAGTGACCATCGGATGACTAGGTGCGGCGGTCGCGGGCGCCGCAGCTGGTGTGCCCGCGGTTGGTGTAGCCGTGGACGACGTCGTAGCTGATGGCGTTGAAGCGGTGGGCGACGTCGTTCCTCCGTTTGATAGTGGAAAAGATGGTGCCCCGTCAGTGGCCGGAACAGCCGGTGATTGATGATGTCGCGCTGTCCGTGCCCCGCGTGGGTGGTGTGGCAGATCGAACCCGGTGGGGGGTGGCGACGGCGGCGGACTCTGGTGGCGTTGCGCACGGTGCCCGCCGTGGTCACCGCACGACGTGAACGGTGGATCGTCAGTCGCCGCTGGAGGTGCTAGAGCAGCAACCGTGCCGGAGTTGCGGAAGGGGTAGACGGATTCGTCGAAGACCACGTGACGCGATGTTATGACCCGGCCCGTGGATAGCTCGTAGCAGCGATAGCCACGGTGGTCGGCCGGATATCCGATGAAGACGCACTTGGTGGAGCGTGCGGCGAGCTTGTTCGGCGTAGTGGCGATCAAGTTGGGGAAGCACAGGCACCTGAAGACGCGGAGCTCGTCGTAGGATGGTGCGACGCCGAACAGCAGGTGGTGCGGAGTCGTAGTGTTCGTGGCGCGACAGGGGCGGCGGTTGATCAGCCGCGTCACCGTGGCCAATGCCTCGGCCCAGAATGGTAGGGGTGCTGTACTGTGAATTAGTAAAGTACGAACGCAATCGTTGACAGTTCGTAAAATCCTCTCGGCCTTGCCGTTCTGCTGTGAAGTATAAGGGCAAGATAACCGCAATTGAGTGCCGAGAGATGAGAGGAGCAGACGCATGGCGGTAGAGTCGTACTCACGGCCATTGTCTGACTGAAAGGCAACAATAGGCAGACGAAATTGTGTATGCACATAAGAGATGAAAGCATGAACATTGGGTAAAACATCAGATTTATTTCTAAGTGGAATTGTCCAGACGTAATGACTATAATCATCAAGAAATACAATGTAGTACTTGTACCCTGAATGACTGAAAATAGGTGAAGTCCATACGTCTGAATGTACTAGCTGAAAGGGAAAAAAGCTCTGTGATGCAGACTCATTGAAGGGAAGGCGAACATGTTTCCCCAACCAACAGGAGGAACATGAATGTGCATCAGACTTGTTACATTGAAAGGGAAAATTAAGCAAAATTTGAGAGGTGACTTGGTGTCCTGGATGACCCAGCCGCTGGTGCCATAGTGCTGCTGTTGATGAAGCAGTGAGAGCTTGATGATGTGGAAGACGGAGGGGATAGAGATCGCCGCTGCTATCACATCGGAGCATCTCCGCCCTGGTAGGAAGATCCTTTATAGAGAAACCAGAGGGGTCAAACTCGATAGAAACATTATTGTCGCAGGTTAAACGGCGAACACTGATCAAATTTTTTACAAGGTGGGGAGAAACAAGAACATCATGCAGCTGGAGAGGAGTAGAAGCAGTAGGGATGATAGTATTTGCCTGGTGCGTGACTGGCAGCCGTGCACCATTGCCTACTGTAATGATGGAGGATGATGATCGAAGGGAGGAGGAAGGAAAATTACCAGAGGATGAGGACATAAGCGACGACGCACCCATGTCAAAGTACCACTCCGAGGCACTCGGTGGATGCTGTGGAACGCCGGCGGACTACAGTGCGGCGTAGAGCGCGGTGGTGTCGAACGCGCCGCCGTTCATGGGCGCAGTCAGGTGCGTGGTGGTCATTGCTTGTTGCAGGTTGAACGGCGGACGCGGTCCAAGAACGCCAGCTCCCGGGGTCCGGAATGGCATGGGCCAGGCTTGGACCATGCCTTGCCAGGGATTGTAGCCCACGGCCCACGGCGCGGACTGCGTGGTGAAGTTGGGGTTATTGAAGCGCCGCCGTTGCCGCGCCCACGGCCACGCCGCCGGTCCTGGCGACTGTTGGAGCGATTTTTGCCGCCGCTGTTGGTGCGAGGAGCAGTGGAGGAAGACGACTCATCCTTGTTCCCGCCGTGCGCCGAGTTGGAGGAGCCGTGGTTGCTGTTGTCGCCATGGGTCGCGGCGAGCGCCTGACCGGCTTCGGCGTTGGCGTCGTGCTTGGCACTGAGCTCCTCAAGGATGAGGAAGGAGCGAGCGCTTTGGAAGGAGTGCGGCGGGTACTTGGACGTGATCACCGGCTTGACGTAGGGGTACTTGGGGCTGAGGCCGCGGAGGAGATTGAGCACTTGGCTCGGCTCGGAGACGGGATGACCGATGTCGCGCAGTTGGTCGGCGAGCCGCTTTAGCTTCGTGCAGTAGTCATTGATGGACATGTCGCCCTATTGGAGAGAGCGGAGCTCAGTCTCCAGGAACACGGCGTGCTGCAGCTCATTGTCTTGGAATAGGCTCTCGACGGCGTGCCACAAGGAGAAGGCGTCGTG